AGTGGTTTTGAATATGCTATATTTTTTTTTGGAAATTATCATTCTTGGTTTTTCCCATTTGTGAGATGAAAATTAATATTACCTTCATAAGGTTAACTTTTGGGAAATTCTAAACATTTCTGAATATTTTTTTTGTATTATTTGGATTTTAGCTTTTTATCTTTGTTTGGGGACAAACAAAATTCCAATTTAGATAGAGTTATTAGATGTGAAAATTACCTTAATTTATAAGGCTAGTTTAACACCTATTCAATTCTAAAAAATGATTTCACTTATTGATACTTAACATTTTGATGGATTGTTTCACTAATCCAATAAATTGAGTTTTCATGACACTTCATAGCTTAAAAGACACTATGCCAGAAAACCTCTTTAAAAGCACTTCTCCAAACAGCGCATCCTAGAATATTGCTTTTAAATTCGAGGCGGAGGAAAATAGACAACGCATCTTTAAGAAATTGTTATTAATATTGATAAGCAGATATAACATCAACAGCGCAACCGCAAATATGCGCAATTGAATAAGTGTTGACTTGAATTCGTTCTCTTTAATAACGCTCCTTTTTTGTTGCACTGTTAATAGGAATATATTTAACGTCACATGTTTTTGTTTACGCTGTTGATAGAATATTTTCTATACTGCATTATTCAATATTCGTTGTTGATTTGTTATCTTATACGGAGCTTGCTAAAATATGCGCTGTTGATTAGATATGATTTTAAAAATTTACAATTTCTGAAAACATTCGCTCATGTTTAAATTGTTTTCGTTCCCCATAATTCTTTTGCTTCGTGATATGGGTTTCGCATACCTGCCAATGATTTCAATAAAGATATCATTTCCCCATAATTCTTTGAGTCTATATATTTAAAAGTCACACATTTAACAATGTTTAAATGTGTTTCAGGGTGTAATTTTCTGACGTAGTGTGAAAATTTGGATAGAACGAACTTTTCTACCCCAAATGCATATATAATATGTTCAGTTCTAATTAGTGGTTAAAAAATAATGATATTAATAACATCAATTACTTTAAAACATGAGTATTAGTTTCTTCAATTTTGGTGAACAAAATACAGACTTTTGTTCTTGAAAGTGACAAACAACACTAAATAGAGTGGCATGCCTCAACCACCCCAACCCATGACTAGTGAAATCCTGGTCTGTCACTAACAACTTCAACTACTTGTTTCTTGATGCAAAACATATCTCGCTCACTTGTATCCATAAACCATTGATGACTACGCTTTGGTTCACTTCTGGAAGAATTCTCATATCCTGTATTTTCTTCAGCTAAGCAACCAACATCTTGTTTAATCCAAAAGCTTTTATGCTGAAAAGACGGCAAAAAAAACCATACTTGGAATGATCATCTGGAAGCGTTGTCGTAGGCCTAAAATATGGTAGTGCCTCAACATCATGATGGTTACATGGCAAGATGTTCAAGTCTTTTATCTAAGACTTTCAGGTACAAAACAGGTCTTAAATCATTGCAACATGCATGCTCTAAGAACATGTACTGTCTGACTAATGAACACAATGAATAGCTTCATGAAATTCAAGATCAATCAAGTGTAAAATTAGGAGATACATTGTATTCCCATGGAGAGCAACCTTGTCCTCAAGGTTGGGAGTTGTAACCGAGTGGGCCTGTCCATTTTTATCTTCCCTAAGCCCAAGGTCTTTCCCTGCATGTGTTGTTATTAGAAGGTTTGTATGTGGTATCTGGACCGTTGACAAAGGAGACCATGGTAGTTTGTGGTTTTGATGATGGAGGTGGTGAGATGAATAAGGACACTGGTGGATTTGAGATCTTGGTCGTACGATAGGAGGAGGTGGCCACCAATATTGGTTCATCCACCGCTGTTGTTGTTTCCAATGTGACCATCCACAAATTCTCTTCTTGTTCTGTTGTGTTGATACCACATCATGAGACCTCAAAAGGCGGATGTATGATAGCCAGCAGATCTTCTGTTTCCCAAGTGAAGGTAACTGTCAACAACAAGAGGGTCCTGGTCGGCATTGCTCCTTTGATTGACTACTAAGGTGATGTAGTTGCTAAAGCTTATCATTGTTTGTTTTCCTCTTAATTTTTTGTATCTTATGATAACGAGTTTGGTGTAGAGGCATGATATAGGGTTGTTCTTGTATTGGTATTGCAACAATTAAGTTGGATTCCTTTTTAAGATCTACATTTGAGTCACCATCAGTTTTAGTGTGGTAACTTTGTAATGATTTGTTCTCCAAATCTTCTTGTGATTTAAGGATTAACTCTCTTATCTCATTAAATAAATCTGCAAAATGTGGTGTTGGGACTTGAGATATTTGTAGGGATATGTGTTGATTGTGTGTATCATAGATTTGAGGTGGTGGAGGAGTATGTTGTGGTTGTGAGGTTTGTTGATGAAAAGAAGAGTATGTGGAATAAGATGGAGGAGTATGTATTGGGTTATGATATGTTGGTTGTTGATACAGTGTTGACTGGAGATTTGTCCATGTGGATTCATTGGTGACATTGTTGTAATAATACGTTTTGCCATTGTCAGTAAAATATTCACTCCATGGTTGAGAATGTTGTTCATAGAAAAAGAAGAGTATGTGGAATAATATGGTTGTTGTGTTTGTGAGGTTTGTTGATGAGAATAAGTGTAATGTGATGGTGGTTGATTGTAAGTGTAATATGGTGGTGGTTGATTGTAAGTATAATATGCAGAATACATATTTGCTTGTGAGGAATGAGGTCAAGAATGAAAGCACCAATGTTAGGGTTGAAATTACCATAGCAGATGTGATTAAGGGATAATATCTAAAGACTTAAATTAAAATAAAATATTGGTTTATTAATATTTTATCTGGCTGAGTCACATCTTTAAATAGAAGAAGAAAGTCTAATCTAATGATCAGTTATTAAGATTAGATAAAAAGATAATGAAAGATAAACTAATTATCCTAAAAAGATAACGAGAGATAAACTAATTATCCTAAAATATAATTGAAGATAAACTAGTTATCCTAAAAAGATAATGAAAGCTAAACTTCTTTGGGGCCTCCCAATACAATACCTATTTAGAGCTTAAGGCAAAATAAGAATTTAGGAAAATAACAAAGTTAGAATGTACTCTATATTATCTTAGATTGTGATTTATATTGCATTATGTATTTCATGGTCATTCGACAATTGAGTAGATTCCCATGTGTTTAAAACACTTATGTTAATTATCTAATTTAACATAAAATGATTTTGGATTGACATGATTACTTAAGAGTGATTTGTTCTCTCGAGATAATGGATGATATTTTGGTTATGAAGGACAATCGCTAATACATTCAATTATATGAATCAATGTTGTTCTGCAACTAATTTTGCAACCGATAATTGATTATAACTTAGTAATAATTGATTATGAGCCGTTGAAAATAAATAATGGATTATAATTCAATATTAATTGATTATCTGATGTCTCCAACTAAAAATAATTATTTTTAAAAGTCCGAAGTTTTTACACAACCAACCTGGAATCAATAATCCATTAAATTTAAAACAAAATGGAGATAACTTTTTCAAGAACCCACTTTAGAAAGAAAGTCACACTTCAAAAAAATGAATTTTCATTTTGAAGTTCCAGTGCATATATCTCTAAACTACATTACCAAGAGATTACACTTGTTTCTCTATAGGTTTTGTGATATCATGTAGTAGAGGTCAAGAAGAATAATTAGGATTGAATTTGGATGTGTGTTTGTAAATATACACCAACTCTCTTCATAGTGAATGAAAATCTTCAAACCAACAAAATGAATTGGATGTAGCGTGAGTGGATTGACGTGAACCATTTTCTCTCTAACCCTAAACTCTTTAAAGCTTTGATTTATTGTGCTTGTATCGATTACTTTCTATTATTTCATTATTCATCATTTTTTTGATTAAAGACTTCATCTTGGTAAAGATCTTGGTTCTTTATTGATTTCGAAAAAAGTGAAGTAGCTCAATTAATTTTCAGTTTTATGCTGGTTAATAATCAATTGACAATCAATTATCAGAAGCATAATTGATTCAACACTTTAGGTAATTGATGATCAACAAATTAATCTGAAAATAGTTGTTTATAATCGATTAAGTGAGAAAAATTAGTTGTGTGTAAAATGAAGTAGCTCAATAATGTCACAACTATTCATGCCCCACTTGATGTTTTTAAGGCCCTTGTTTACAAACATTGAATTTTTTTAGAAAAAGTGATTAATTCGACAAAGATTTTAATCTCTTTAGGAAGAAGGTTAATATTGTAAAAAAAAACATTAGTTGTTAACCTCTCTAGTGTTCTATATTACACTATCAAATTTTATAAGTAATAATTTATACAATTTCAGAAATCTTAATTCCCTAAGAAATGTCCCCTTCCTCTTTAATCCATCTTTTGTTCTTCACTCTTCTTTTATCACTTATTATGAATAAGTATAAGGATATTCGAACGGTCCAACCCATATACAACTTAGAGTGTAAATATAATTGTATGAGTCTTGTACATCAACACAAGTAAAGTTAGGAAGTTTCCTTGGATATTCTACCATAGGCAAAAATAAATTTTAGCATGAACCGTAGATAGATCACGTTCCCACCACGATCTTGTACAAAAATATAGACCATTACAAAGGGGCTTAAAAGGCACAACTTAAACCTATTTTTTTCTCAGTTTTTCTTCAAATAAACTATTATTAATTAAAGTAATGTCAGATTAATATTTAACCAATAGGTTTAAAACTGTTAATTATAAGGATTAAAAAATGTTAACCGTGTTTTAGAAGCAATAAAGCCTTACAATTTACAAACTAAAAAAACAATTATTTTTAATTTTTAGTAATTATGAAGAAATTTTTTTGTGAAGGGTTGAAAATAGTATTCTAGAACAACTTATTCTCAGGTTATATAGAACACCAACCCCTCCCATATAAAAAAAGCTTTGAAGACCTTTCTTTCTAAATTGCAAAGTCATTCATTACGGTAATATAGTCTAACAACTTTTAACACTAACAAGTACTATCACAAGTGCACAACATTAATATGCATAAGACAAAATCATAGTACAATAGTTACTTAGATAAGAGTGATACTCGAAGCCCTAAACCATAAACTGTTTTAGTAGGGGGTAACACCTACATTTGCCGGTGCGAAAAACCCATCTTTCATAAGCACGTCTTCTGATTCCTACACGCACAAAATTGAGATTAGAAACCATAGAAATAAGAGTCACTTTTTTCATTAATGTGCTGCCAAAAGTAAAAGAGGTAACAGAAGCTAGGGTTTTCATTTACCTGGCGCACATTAGCTTTCTTCACGGGTTGATGATCAGGCATAAGTCCGAAATGAATGTGTGGGAAATGAGCCCACTGAAACAAAAATATGGACCCCACAAATGAGAAATTAAAGGTCTTAATTAAGCATGAAGATTAATAATATAGTGACACATTATTTAAAATTTTAGTTCACATTAATAAATCTAATCCAGTAAAATAGTACTATTCAATGTAAAATTTCATATGCAATACTATGTTATTGGATGAGATAAAGTTCAGGACATCAATTTGGGACAATTAATCTTTATTCCTTAATTAAACAAAGACATGGAATTTAGGCATATGTCAAAAAGAAAATTCCTTAATTAGTAAGAATTGAAAATAATCTAAAAATGGGGAAAATTCCCTAAGAGAGTAAGATTTAGAATCTCCTTGGATCTCACATTCTTTGCAGCTGCACTAAAGGCCTCTCTGTGGCTTATATCAGGATTTCCAGCTTTTATACGTTGAATCTCATCCCTGGAATTTCAATAATGTCAATGTCATCCAAATGCTATCAAAATAAAATGTGGAATCAAATAATATATATAAGCAAAATGTTAAGATATACCAATAGAAGTGATAAGGTTTGAGTTTAGAAATTATTAGGTGATTCAGAACTTTGACCCAAATGCATTATATTTTACCATATATTGCGTTTTTATTTAATTTTATTTTAACTCATAAAAGGAACAATAGACTGTGGATGTATTTGGGATGATAGTCCTACATCACCTAATAATTCTGAGATGCAAAATTATTTATTAAATTTAAGGAAATATTTAGAAGAGTACTCTAAAAATATTGGTTAAGGTTTTAAAAATATAAAATGTGCATTTGGAAAGTGTTCGTAAACTCACTACTTACTACTTAGTATTAAAAATAAAGAAGATGAAATTGAAGTTATTAAACTTACTTGATGAAGCGGTTGTAAGCAGATGGAACTCTCTGTCTCTTCTCTGGAGCTGGACATGTAACACATGGATATTGCTTACTAGCTCCGGTATTGGAAAGACAAATAGATCACAAAAAACATAAAAAAAATATAAAGATGTAGCATTTTTATCGTTTAGAAATGATATTATGACATTTTTATCCTGCACAAACAATAACTTACCTCTTGGATACTAGAGATAAGATTTTTTCCCATTCCTTACGCATATACACTTTCTCTCTCTCTCTCTCTCTCTCTCTCTCTATCATTAGCTCATCATTATCCCTAACAATCACTCTCCCAATGGATTCAGCACTATATTTTCGGGGGACAAATTATGTATCACTCATTGTATGCATGTAAGGAGACATAGAAAGAGAGGCAAAGAACAAAAAGGGATTAAAGGAATATAAATTTGATTCTTTTTATTCACCTAAAGAGAAGGAAAAAAATTATGAATTTCATTTTCATCCTCTTTAAACAAACTTGGTTGTGGAAAGTGGGAAAATCATAAAGCATGGAAATGGGTTGCTTCAACTTAAAAGTTTTTAAAGTGTAATTGTTGTAGCAATATATTTGAAGAACTAAAGCTGGCTTTATTGAAGTTTCAAACATTAGCACAGGAAAGATAGAGAAAAAGGAATGCATGAGATAAATGTGCAAAAGATTGTTTTTTGTTTGCCACTTGAAGTAAACCAAGAAATCTTAGCCACTGTTCAGCATGACAAGTAAGTTTTGATAGGAACACAGCTTTTTTTCCCCATTTTTCTTCCTTTATTGCTTAAGTGGTACCACTATTAGCTTAAAACTTGTGCAAAATGGGCTGCAAGGGTTTCAGAAGAGTTCCGTATTCTTTTTTTGAGTGAATTGAGATTCCTTTTCTTTTTCTATCTTTTCTTTTGTGGTATCTGAAGAATCTCTGGTCCACAAGTAGAAAAAGGAAAGTAAAAGAAAGAAAAAAAGTAAACAAACATGAAGAACATGTGAAGATTTTGAGACCATTGTTACTTGCAAGCAAAACTAAAACTCATCAAGAAACCAAATTTAGTTTATTGAACAAGTAAAGATAAGAAGTTAAGGAATAAGAGGAAAATGCTCACGTCTGTTAGGTGGTGGAGGCTTAGGGATTTCTTCTGGTCCTCCTCGCATGGTGCTCATGACCAAATCATTTTGGTTAGGAAGCTGATTCATCATCATATTTGTTGAAGGTGCATTTCGAATCTCCTCCTGAACCATAACAATACTAATAATCAACTATATAACCCTAGGCACAAACTTTTCTTAGGTAAAATAAAAATTAAAAACCCTAAGCCTTAGCTTGTTACTACAACTTTGAATTCTATAACCCAAAGTACCAATATTTATAAATTGTCTCAAAGTTCTCCTTGAGGTTGTACAAGAAACATTTTGGTACATATATATATATATATATGTACCATAAGATTTTGAGGAGTGAAGAAGTTGTGGCCAACGTGAAGCTGATTAGCAGGAGGAAGAAGAAGCCCACGCATGTTCACAGACAGAAGGTTGGTGCAATGGCCACATCTCACAGTCACAGTCTTGAACAAACTAGTGCAAGGAACACTCACCTAAGAGGGTTAAAGATTATATAAATTGAAAGTAGGTTATAATAATAATAATAGAGAGAGTGAAGAAAGATGATAAGATAAAGAATAAGAGGTTGTAGTGATGATACAGCGAGGACAGTGTCACAGAAGTTGCAATGAACATAACAGAGTTGGTCGGAGGGAGAGAGTTGGTGTTGTTGTTGGTCCGGTGAAAAGGAAGTGGATGAGGCAGACATGTTGTTTTCTCTTTTTGTTGATTCCCTTTTTTGATTTGATTGATGGGATTGACTGATCAATGAGGTTTTTGATGATAGACAGATAAACTTCCTATGAATCTGATCGTTTTGATTGTTGAGTTACTGTTAAGGAGAGAGGGAGAGTGAAAGATGGGTAAAAGAGATGCCAAAGTAATAAAGGATTGAATAGACCTACAAAGTGCTTTACTTCTTTCTCCATTTCTGATCTTATATTTTTTTGTCTGAGTTTCTAGAACAAATATCGTTATTAGAAATCAAAATATTTTTTTTTAACAATCGGCATCTTACCTCATTAGATTAATGTATTCTTAGTATTTGTGATCTTGTATATATATAATGCTCATGTTTATAAAAATTATTTGTAGTAAAGTGACACTTAGAAAGATAAAGGTGTTTTTCTTTGGACCATGTTATTTGTAAATCATTACATGATAAAATAACATGAATAGATTGACGAAAATACATTCTTTATTGTTTATGGTGTATATCAACATTATACTCTCACCCATAGCCAAAAACTAATCCATTTCAAAACTTAGAGATTATGAAAGCGGGTGCAACATCTCTCAGCATATATTTTTCTTATTTCTTCATAATTTCTCCACATAAATCGGATATAAATAAAAAAAAACTGAAAAAGAATCATGAACAAATTTTTGAAGGGAATTGTCCAGACTTACATTATGGGAGTATGAGTAAGTTGGTCTTTTTCTTCATAATGAACTAAGTAATTAGATAATTGAGTTTAACATAACCCAAAATCTTAACGCGTCAGAGAGAATTCTCAATTCTAGGAAAAGAAAAATAACATGGTTTGGAATACTAAACAAATAACATAATAAATTTACGTAGTTTTTAAGTCCATAATGCAACACTATTGATGTAATGATAGCATTTTCCCCTGTCTCCATCCATACTTAGGTTTGATTTTCTTTTGTTATATTTGTTTTTGAGCAATAATATATTTTAAAAAACCATTCAAACCTCACTTATTCCACGACCTAATTCGATTTTTAGCAGTCAAAATGTTATGTAGAGACACAATTAGGAGAAGCAATATCCAATAAAGGAGTGAAGAACAAAAGAAAATAGAATAAACAAAAAAGAATATAGAATCCTTTTATAACTTCTTATACATCTGCTACTTTAGTAAAATCATCTTTTTGCCAACAAAAATATAATACAAAAAAAAATTGTTAATGAGATTCAGTTAATTATGTCGACCTTCTTATGAGCATTGAGAGACTAGAAGACATGGTCCAATACATGTTATTACGATTATAGAATGTTAAAATAGTTGTGTATTTTGTTTTGCATATAATCGATTAACTATATATATATATATGGTTAATCGATTATCTAGGTAATTATGTATTTGTTAGTGAGGAGATGTAGTATATAAAGAGTAGTTCCCTTAATCTTTGTATTCAATTCTATCCATTCAATAATAACAAGTTCATCTTTCTTTAGCTTTCTTTAAGCATTCTTTGAACTTTCTTTCATTTCTCATTCATGCATTTATCATCATTCTTATTCATCAAGAAAGTTTCTTTCATGACTCATACCAAACTTTAACATAATATCAGAGCATAATTATTTATTTTAATTGCTTCCGCTTATGGCTCCATCATTTAAAGATTCAACAAAGAATCATCATTCTCATGCATGAACTATCAAGGAGATTTCAAGGAGATGCAACATATTGCTGCATAAACTGGTGTGGCTACTGAGATTTGCGCACACATTCTTTCTTTCACTCTCATACACCATTATTTCTAGCCTCCAACAAGCACATTATGATCTTCAAGAAGAACATGTTCAAGAATTTAGCTGGTGCATGGTGTGTTGATTCTTCTCATGGTTGCCTTGTTCTGTCCCACCATTTGTTCTCGGCTTTTGTCACTAGTGAAATTCCATCATAGTGAAATAATATTGTGGAATTCCTTCTTTAACATGCTTCTAGATTCAAGATTGCACACTTACTAAAAGATTGACAAGATCACAATACATTCTTTTCTTATTCTTTATCAATTACCTCCAATTATCTATTTTCTCTATACTCTTTTTTTTACCCCATCTCTCATTAAACACGACATTATTTTAGTGTGTATTTCTCCTCATTGAAACATCATATTAGGATCAAGATTAAGATCCACCGTTTTTTCTCTCTTTCATCCATTATGGTTGGTTAAGTTTCTATCAAAGTAGATAGTTAAACTTTGGATGAAGTTGCTCCTGCCTATGGTGGTTAAACGTCATTTTTGCTTCACATTATAATTTCAAGACTGAGAGATTAAGATTCGCTCACCAATAAGAGGAAGTTTTAGAGTATAATCATCATGTTCAACAGAATCATTTCAAGCTTGAAATGTTTGATACATTCCAGTTTGCGGGGGAATGTTAAAATAGTTGTGTATTTTATTTTGCATATAATTGATTAACTATATATATGATTAATCGATTATCTAGGTAATTCTGTATTTGTTAGT